ACATTTGCGAAAGTACTGAAAAGACATCGTGCCCTTGCAGGCGAACATAGTAGTCGTTTCTTAGCTATGCTACCCTGCGCGGGAGAGAATAGAGGTCGAATCATGATGGGTGAGGCTGTTGGACTGACCAGGAGAAGAGGTTTGTGTCGCCAAATAAACAGCTTAATTGACTATCTTCCCTCACCGTTCAATCGCTACACGCAATATGCGAATCTTTAAGCCGAGGTCAACTTCATTGTAAATGAGGGAAGTCATGATGTGTTCAGGATTGCATCTGTCTTAGCAGCCGGCTTAGTCACCATATTTTGCCATCTAACTAGATATATCCGGCCAATATGGATGCCAAGATACCCCGGTCATATCGATATATCGATTTCGAGTTAGAATAGAGCAAGTGTTGTTGCTGATACCCCACCGTATCAATTGACTGGTGAGTGAGCCTATGAAGTCTCGTAAATCGGTAATCCCGTATATCCGGAACCACAGAAGGTTCATGCTCACCAAGCTAGCTTAACATATTTGTGTGTGGTTTCTTTACTTCTTTATTTCAGATAGTGCCAACCATGCCAGACTGCATACTAACTACCTAGCTTTATAGCTAATCAGTAGCTCCATATACCAATCTCTCTATTGACGTTGCCTACAGCCGGTACATTATCACACAGATTTCTTATAAAAATTATTATTTCTTGCCAGGTTAAACAAGCAGAGACCTTCTACCCTCAGAAGTATATACAGAACGCTTTACAATATGGGAGGCAAAGAAACTTCATAGAGATCTCTTATACGCTCAGTATAAAGACAGTATGAAGTATTATGAGTAAGAAGCAATATGCTCTCTAACTTCCCTAAAAAGTTTTCTACTAGCATCTTCTGGTAAGATGAATATGATATATAGAGAAGTTTTATTAATCAATGTAATCCCCCACAGTGTTACTTAATGCGACATTGAACCCCACTATACTCTATTATAAATATAGAAAAATGCACTGCAAGACATTCCTTCAAATTCAGCCCGATTGTAGCCACCCAACATCTGGCCACCTGGCGTATCCTATGTCCCAAGACCTATAACTGCATGGATCTGAGTCTAACGATCAAAACGAATTAACGTAGCCACTGGGGTATTATCAAGGAATCGGCAAATACTGTAAATACCAAGCCCGAGTGTGACATGATTTACAATCAGAAGTTGAGGCTATAAATCTATAGTGGATGTATTCAGTAGGTGGTGGTAGATAGGGTAGCAGTATAATTAAGCAGCACCTTGGCTAAGTACCATGATAATATATATATATATATACCAATCAAATGTTAGTAGTATATTCGACAGTCATGAAGAATGTCGCAAGTGCATCTTCTTCTACTTCCCCTATCCTTCTGACACCCCCGAAACTGAGTATGCCTGGTACTCTATCAACAAAAGTTTGTGGATCCTCCAAACGGACTAATATATATCTACAGGCTTGGTTATAATCGTGCTTTAATATATCATTAACCACCAGTCAGACCACAAAACCAGCTAGATAAAAGTAAACCGTTTGATGCCTCCATCTGAGCAATCGCTATAAAGACATCTGACTGACCCGTTAACTCAATTATCTTCAGCAAAGGTTGAAAGTACCTAGTCCTCCGTAACATCCCATAGAAGCTCTAGCCATAAATCGCAAAATACAACATAGGGATTGACCTATGGCATAACTGCATACCCTCTCGAGTTCACTGCGTGATTGGAATACTTAGTCGAGTGGAGTTATACATAATTCGTAAACGTCATTCATCTATGAACCAATCTAGTAGGGATTGTATGTAGTTTGAATTGCGCAAACCTGTTGAGTCCTCATTCAACATATCTTGTGAGTTTGTGGAAACTGCTGCTAATATCATTGTGTGTGATATGGCGTGGTGCTCATTGGCGTCTCTGTTTGAGGTGTAATTGGGGATGATGTATTCAGAGTAATGAAAAGCCTAGCTACTGCAGAGAATAGAAATCATTCTGAGGAGAGAAAAAAGAATAATCGAAAAATTTTGTGCAAGACTACGAACAAGAGAAATATTAGAGAAGTGAATAGTGCCCAGGATATTTAGGCAATACCGAAGTAATAACAGCTAGCCCTCAAAAGAAATAGTAAGCCACTCAATCCCACAACCAAAAACTATCCAGTCCTCCAGGCAAACATCATTACAACAAAACAATCAAAACATAATGAGAAAACCCCATTCACACTCCCTCGGCAAACATCCGTCATACCTAGAGCTATAATTTTCCATCTAATACCCAAAGAGACACCTTATTGCCAAAGCTAAGCTACATACCTACAGACATCTCCGACAGTGGCTTTCCCAGCTGAGACGGAGGTGGGCTGATTTGTCGATCTAACTCCACATGAATTCCCAAATCTCAAGCTCAGGTCTCGGGAAAGCTTCTCCTAGCTTGGAATCGACAGCTCCAGCTCCAGCTCCAACTCGGCAGTTCTGTAATAGCACATGCTTCATTGGTTTGTTTCAGCCTATATGGAGCTTTGTGCTGGTCTGTGTAGGTGAGTTTCAACTGCTGTTGAAGATTGCAGGATGAGGGGCTGTTTCGTGGGTGGCTACATTTTCCGTTTGTGGAGAGGAGATGGTTGGGGATAGGAACCAAGGAAGTAAGAGGGGTTTTCTGGGAAATCTGGTGGGGGAGGGGGGGTGAGGGAGATGGGGATATGATTATGAGGTAGTAGGTGAGTTTTGGGCAGGTTATTTAGGAGTCAGTGCTTGTTGATCCATAAATCATGATTGTTTTGCTGCTTAGAGCATCATGGTTCAGCCCATATTCATGGTTTATCGCAGAGATTGCATTGACCATGATAGCAGGCTGAAGGGAGATAAGTGTATAACCAAGGAGCTAGATGACGCAAGCATACATTATCTAGAAGAAGTAAGTGTTGGTAGTATCAGACACTATATACGACGGCGCTCTTTGGTGAAATAAACAGGGTCTTGACATCTTGGCAGGGCATAGGCTATATGTCCCCCATTGTCCTGATAAGGTTCGGGTCCGAAAACGGGATCCGTTGAGGATCCGACCCAATTTTGAGAACCGCTCCTTCAAGAACCGGAATAGGCAAGAGTACATAATCTACCCCTCGTTCGGAATATCGGGATCTACTGACAAGGCTGTCAGTGTTAAGAGTAGGTTCAATGTGGCGAGAGTCGACTGTAAAGGCTGATATTTGGTGTCTGAGAGAGTTTTGTTGAAGTTTGTATAGAGTAGAACATCAGGAATGAGGGGTATTGCTCTCGGATGGAAGGAGGAACTTAAAGAAATCCGAAGCAGTTTACTGGGAAGCATATTGCGGATTGCAGATTGCCGGATGTCTGGTCGGTCGCAGAAGACGGCCGGATGGATTTGTGACATTATCTTGATCTCCGTTCTCTGCATCCATCATGTTGGAAAAGCTTGTCCGAAAAAGCCAAGTCACCAGTTCTGTTGTTTCATCCCGTTTCATCTCGTTCATGGCAAGGTGCTAGGTTTCGAAGGGGTTTGGGATTATTTACAGACTCTGTGAATTATGTAGGAGTGAATCTACTGTGTAGGTTTGCAGCTGAAACAACAGGGTGCTTCATGAATAGTGGACCATTTGAGTATCTGAATCATGTCAGTAGCTGTGTCGCTGGCGAAGTAAGCCCGCAGGACTCATTTTCGAACCTGGGGATATATGCGCGGACCCCATCTTTCAAATCAGGAGTCATGAGGCAGCAGCCATTGACAGACGTAAACGCAGCTATCAGTTCTGTACCCCGGAATGTATGGTCAAAGCGAGCCACGATGCGCACAATATGATTTTCAACTACATTCAGGCGGCCGCAAAGATCTTCAGGTTTAACCAGACAATTCGAGCCCGGCGGCGATCAACCCTGGACAGCCGGCACCATTCGCGTTAAAGTTTGCGGCTAGTCCTATTTATGGGGCTGGGAACCACCTTAACTGCCGCCCAAACGGCGACCGACAGAACGTGGGCAAAGGGAATGCATAGAAGCGGATTAGACAAGGGTCTAGAAGGAAAGTCTGGGACGGAGGGGGAAAATATTAAAGATGTTCATGGATATTGAAGTTAGTTGCTTCCTGCGAGTTATTCCCGAGATATCGAGGTTGAACCATGGACAGGAACACCCAGTGTTGCCTATTTTCGTGCCCAAGGAATCTCGTCGATCCTATCATTTTCCGGAAGACCGGGTCCGCTCTGGAACGTGATGACAAAAGTATTGACTCCATCACGAACGGGGGCTCTTGAGGACTACCCATGGCTGGTAAGGATCATCACAACCAGCTCGCCCTGGTGTTGAGCTTTTTGGAATCCCGGTCTCGTTACGGGAAGATCACCCAGGAAAAGCTACCTTGGCGAGTACCTTCAGCTGGGAGATTATCACGGACTATTGGTCGCAGTCAATCCTTCTCTGAACGATTACTTAATTAGAGAAATCAAGAAAAGTTAGTCTCACTGGTTTGGGCAAGGGGGAAAAAGAGATAGAGGAAAATAGAGTATTCGCTATCAGCAGTTGAAAATTGACGAGGCAAATCGGCATATCGTTGTTTGCCCGAATTGGATCACCGGTTAGAGTTCCGATCAATTGTTCTCCGAGGAGCACTGCGGCAATTCGAGCAGTATTGGCCGATATAGGCTGGATCGATGAAGACTTCGGAATGATGACATCAATCACCAAGGAACTTGGATGATCATCGCACAATGGTCGATTCAGGAGTAGCCAGGACCGTGCAGATACCAACTCGGACTGTTGCTGCCCACTTGCACGCACAGAGCAGACACCGATATGGGGACATGGGAGACAATAGTGGTTTGGAGTCTTGGAGGTTGAACGAGTGTGATCTATCTTAAGAATTTCACAAAATTTTCTGGGTGTGAATTGAAAAAAAATTTTTTTTTCTCTTATCGAATTCCCACCGTATCTCGCATCATTACCCAATTGGGCCCGCCTATGACTCGTGGGCCTTCCCCATGTCATGCAGGACATCTCCAACATGGCGATGGTGGTGATGCACATGCAAGGGTTGCATACAGTAAGTATATCGTGATCGGGCTAATATTACCATAGTAAAGAGTTTCCATAGGGCTGGTACCACCAAAGGAAATTCAAGGTGCACAACAAGCCACCACGGCAGTTCAATGCTTGCTGAGGGTATTTCCAATGATGGTTCATCCACCCGGGCCAAATGTGAGGGGAAGACTTTCTGTGGACATTCTGTAATTTATGGAAGGGAAAATGCGTGCGGGGCAATCTGGCGCTCATCCAAAAACGGAAGGCTCTGGCGCCAGTTCTTTGCTGGGAGTCAAATCTACGACAGAATGGAGGCCACTAAGTACGGAGTACAGTAGCATTGTTTTCTTTAGTTCGTTTGAACTAAGCACCAGAAGGGACTGGTGTGCCGCAGGTAAGTGGAATTCTGGTGGAGTCGCCGCTGCTGGTCGTGGTCTTTCCTCATTCAGCCTGACTGGCTCCTGCTTCCTCCTACTCTTTCTTACGCTTTTTTACTCTCTCCGCTCGTGCTCATCAGCCCCAGCTTAATGGGCCTCCCCTTCGAAGCTCGACGCAAACCTTGCCATCCCTGTAATTAGATTGTGGATCTCGCATCCTTTGCTCCAATTGATTTTCTCTCACGTCCGCTGTCTGAAGGACCAAAATTCTCTCCATGGGCTTGTCAGTGGCCTCGGCTGGAGTCTTCTTCCCCCCATTAGCCGGGATACCACCTCGTCTTTCCTCCCTAAAGTCAGAACCTAACTTTTGCACATGCTTTGCCCCGAATGGAGTGACTGCTGAACCAGGAGTCCCTCCCTGCCCGCAAATTTCAGACGAGCTAACCGGTTTGACTTTCTGGTCCGGGTCCATTTTAGATCCCTATTCCTAATTGACATTTCCGCCAACGAGCCCATTCAAATGGCTCAAACTGCTCAGATCGTCCCCCTGGCATGTGGAGACGACCGTGAACGACGGGTCGATGATCTGCCTATCATTGTCCTGTGCTGGCTTGGTACCCCGGTAATTCTCGGTTCTGCGACTTCTGCTTGCCATCGGTTGGATAAAATGGCCTGCGGTGGAGGTCCGCTCACAGTCTCATTGGAGGAGTTGACTTCCCGCTTGGCCGGGATACTAGATCTGAAATTGAACAAATCCATTAAACTCAAAATGACACACAGAAATAAACTCCCTAGTCCATGGTTAGCGAAGGGACCATTTATGTCGCAACTTGTCTAGGCCAGGGGTGGATACTCGCCATCGTGGTATATCATCTCTCTAGTTCCCCTCCTCACTCGTGCTGTCAACATCACTGGCCCTCGTGTATCATCAGTCGGCCACGGCTGACTACCTTCGCTTTTGACAACACTCCAGACTGATCTTGACTGTGACGATGGCCAATGCGACTCTCGACTGCTCGACTGGGGGTTGCTGATGGCTGACCACATTTCGACATTTACGACAACAATACGGCACTATACAACAGTGCCACCAACTTTCAACATCTTACACCTTATTGCCCTCGCTCCTACCAGGCTAAATCGCCAACATGCAACTCCCCCCGGCCGAGGTTCTGGCCACATGGCCCACACCTAACTACGTTGACCCTGTGACCCGCGGGCCGGCCGTGAATATTGTGAATATCGTCCTTCTTTCCATCGCATTCATCGTGACTGTTCTCCGTCTTTACGCGCGTTTCAAGATAACGTGCACACCTGGTCTCGATGACTTTTTCATCGTCATCGCTTTTGTACGTCCAAGTTGCATATATGATGGGTTACCGGTCTAATAAACAATTTTTAGGCTATTGCAGTGGGCATGTGTGCATGTACATCTCTGGCGACTGAGCGCTGGGGTGCGAACCGGCATGTATGGGATGTGCCTTTGTCCTGGCTACCCGTCATTACCAAATACAACCTCGGTTTCCAAATTACATTTTCCCTCTCCTGTTCAATCACCAAGCTTTCGGTTCTGTGGTTCTGCAAGCGCCTCATCGGAACGGGGAGCAAGGGACTGTACCGAATCTACAACATCGTCGTGATTGTCTCCTTCATCTTTGTGGCCTTGTGCTGCATTGTCTTTTTGCTAGTCAGCATCTTTCAGTGCTCGTGAGTCCCCTGTTCCTCGACTCACTGCATTGCATTGACTTACCTTGTCATAAAACAGGCCTATCCATGCTTTCTGGGACTTGGAGCCGATGTATCCTCATCATTGCGTCAATTATGGCGCAGCAGTATTCTCTGCAAGCGTTGTCAACATCTTCACCGATTTTCTCTGCACTCTGGTCCCGATGCCATTGATCTGGAACCTGAAGCTGCCTGCCCGGCAGCGGATGGCCGTGATTTCGATCTTTGGTCTGGGTATCTTTGTCAACGTGGCGGGTACGGTGCGCACCGTATATGTCTGGAAGAGTATGATGGCCTCCTATGACACTACCTGGATGGGATGGCCTATTCTGGTCGCCGGATCGGTAGAAATCAACTTGGCATTGGTATGATCACCCTCTCAAAATGCGCGCGTATCACGGCTAACTCTGTATTAGATCTGTGCTTCTGCACCTGCATTGAGACCTCTTATCGGATTTGTCTTGCCCCACCTTCTCCCGTCCGCCCGTGGCTACGGATCCTCATTCGGCAACCGGGAGTTGAAGGGATGGTCTTCCACTGGACCATCCAAGCAGTCCCGCGCTTCCAAAATGATAGAAGATCGCCAGTATGGTTACCAAGGCGATACCACCGTGGATCGTATGGAGGTCTTGCGCACTGTTGAGATGGAGACATGGACCGAGAATCGGCGACCCAGCCATAGCAACAACTCTCAGGTCATGTCGAATCACACGCGCGTTGCAACCCCGACGCATCACGTCGATTTAAAGAATAATGGTGTGGTATATACGTCGCCTGGAAGCGACGTCTCCTCCACCTCACTCACCCGTGACTCCAAGGAGCAACACACATTTTACGAAAACAGCAACCCAGTCTAGGGTGTCACGCTCTCTATATTTTCCTTTTCTTTTCTTCCATTCCCCTTAATGCAACAAGGGGGAGTCATCTGGTTATGAATTGAGTTATGAACATGTATAACTTACTACCTATGTATACTCTTTTGAGGCTGGAGTCATGTACCTATAGTATACCAAACACATCACGAACATGAATATACCACACACAATCCCACCACCACGCGACCGTCTCACGAGTAAATCATGAGTATCTCAGCCCATCCGATATTAAGTGTCAACCTAATCCTTCCGTAAACGGAGTGGGTCTCCGGCTCCACTGCAATTACTTTTAGGTCATGACTCCACTCATGCCCGATGCCAGTATGGCCTGATCCGATCCTATACAGTACCCCATCCAGTCCCGCTTCTCCTGCCTCCTCCGATTCCATCCATAGATCATACTTAACAGACAGTATTATCACTACCTCCCTGCAGGGATCCCCCAGTGCAGCACAGGTTGGGCCTACCAAAATGAGAGCCCCGTGTCCGCTCCGTCGGAGGGATGCAGTGGGGTTGGTTATTGATTTATGTTTTTGATAAGTGCCAGTTTATCTTTGACATCGGCCACTCCGTAGATTGACGTGTTGTAAACTACTCTGTAGTCTTGAGTAACTTAGACTAAATCAATAGACTACGGCCCGTCTTGCTGCATCTAACGCAGGTGCGGATGGGTGTAATTAAGATCTGACAATGTTTCTTCGGGGGGGGTGTTTGGCGAGGGGTAGTCTAAGTTGGTGTGGTTTATTTTTGCTGCGTGGTTTGGTGGAAGAGGATTGTTTCTAGTTGTTTTGTGGTAACTTAACTTTGGGGGTATATAGCGATGGTGGGATTGTGGGATGCTGTAGTTATTTTTTTTCTCTTCTAGATGTTAATCAGTCATGTTCCGTGGGAAAAAGAATGTGTCAAAGTGTATTATTGATTATGGTGGAAGAGGGCCACATCTTTTTTACTTGGTGCACTCCACTCACTTCCAGTTACTACTTTGTACCGTTGCCCACAGCAGGGGAGTAATCTGGACTTCTGTCTGAATAATCGGAGTATGGTGTAGTTACACAGTACAGTAGACAATGACAAATGGTCTAGACTACTACTATTACTACTACTACTACTATCATGAATATGATTGGATGCTCACCTACTCAGCTAATCTTGCATCGGAGATTAAAGCTGGACGGGGGGGGCCGTGTGTGCATATGTATCTAGTAGATCGTGGTATTTGAGATTTGGAATTTTACTTGGGGGCTTGGGTATATTATTGTGTGCTATACCCCGCTTTTTTTCAGCTTTGGTGTTGGTGTCGGGGTTGGGGTTGAGAGGATGAGAGGATGTCTTGGCTGGCTTTGAAGTTGGACAAGTTGGCTTAACTAAGGGTTGTGGAGAGATGATGATGATGATGATGATGATGATGGGCTTAGTACTGTAGGTAGGTAGGTTGTATTCAGTGTTAGAGTTGGTATTAGGATTTGCGATTGTGTGTGTGCGTGTGTTCACTTATGTGCTGGTTTTGGCTCTTTGCTCTTGACTTATCCTTGTTAGGGTGTTATATTAGTAGGAGCTTACTTAAGGTGATTCAGCTGGCTTTGTTTGTTATATTCGCTTGTGCTGGTCGCTTGCTTAGGATTATTGCTTTGAATTATTGGTTTTTTTCTTGGTGTCTTTGATAAGTGACATCGGGTATATATAGTTTTGGGTTGCTGCAATTGACGATTGAGTATGTACAGGATTTTATCTGGTAGTTTATGGGGGGATGGATGGCTGTATGTTCTGGTTCTATTCGAATTTGAGTTAGGGGAGACGCTAGTACTGTCTCTGACATGTGAGCATTCTTGACATATACGGATTCTAGAAGGCTCGGGTGTCAGTAACCTGGATTTCTGGTCTAATTGGCTATGATATTTAGGTTTTTAGTTGTTGCTTGACCTGGACTATCGCATGCTGTATTGCTTCGTTTGTCGCCAGATGTTAGACAATAGACTGGATGAATTTCATATTACTTCCATGGCTCCTCTAGTACATGTACATGTACTGCTAGTACTCTCACGATATCCTTCAACCGAACCTCAATGGATCATGATCATCGATCTTGATGATGTCAACCAGCAAGGTCTACGTACAACCCTAGCAGCAGTAAAATATATTTCGAGTAGCACTGCCTTCAATTGAATTGAACTTAGCTATCGCAAAAACAATGTAGCTATCTTACTCTCAGCTACAAAGGAAGTGAGCAATTTATGTATTTTCTTACCTAACCAAAATCCTGCTTCTCCTTAGCATAAATGGCCATCACTGGAATGGCGGTGATGCATCGGAGTTCGCAGCGAGAGACGGAGTGCTTATCGGCCACCCCTGCCACTGATAAGCGATGCAGATCCGATATGATCTCACCCCATTAGGCAGTCACTTCCTGTGCTCATTGCCACTCACTGTCATCGGCAGTCGGCGGAAGAGGCAAGCAGAGTGACTCAATAAAGAACATTTCCATCTGAATGATTGGATTATCGAATTACTATTATCATTAGGAATTATCATGTTGAACGGCGGCTCTCCGGATGGGTTGAGAAGTCGCCGAGCACCGGGGGAGCACGGCTGCTGATTGGTGCAAAACGCCGAAGCAGCTGTACGGCGCGGGGCAGCTTCCAATCCATCGCGAGCTCTCCCTTCAATAGCTGCCCCCCTCGCTCCATATTTAACCCTTCACGCTGCCATTTTTCTCGTCATTTATCTTCTTCCTCCTAAGTTATCTCAATTGCACCAGTTTAAATCTATAATCGGTGCTGGTCCGCTGCTTGTCTGGTTGAGCATCGATCGAGGAGCTCCTTATCAATCATCATTGCGTTATCGTCATCGTATCCTTCCCCACATCCCTGTTTTCCAGCTGGGTATTTCAGTGCCCCTGGCCCCTCAACCCATTTCTCCCTTTCAAACCCATCTCCTCTCAATTAATTCATCACAATGGCTGCTATCTTCCGCTCCAGCTTGAGGCTCCGCCCGACGACGCGCCTGTCGGCCGTCCGCACTCTCACCACTACTCCGCACATGCGCGCTGCGGAGAAGCCTTATTTCCCCGATGAGCCTTCTGCTCCCAAGCTGGCCACGGCCATTCCTGGCCCCAACAACAAGGCTGCTGCTGAGAAGCTCGACAAGGTCTTTGATGTGCGCAGCTTGAACATGCTGACTGATTACTACAAGTCCCACGGTAACTAGTAAGTTGACCCTGCATTTATCTCACCCCTTGCGGGCAAGACTGCCGAACGAATACTAACTTAGACACAGCATCGCCGATCTGGACGGAAACGTGCTTCTTGATGTGTAAGCTACTACTACTACCAACCGATGATGATCCTTGCGACAATGCGCTTGTATGGTTCTAATATTTATTGTTCTCAGCTATGCTCAGATTGCCTCCATCCCCGTCGGCTACAACAACCCCCACCTCCGCAAGGTGGCAGAGTCTCCCGAGATGGTCAATGCTTTGATCAACAGACCGGCTCTGGGTAACTTCCCCTCTCACGACTGGGCTGACATCCTGGACACTGGTATCCTCAAGGCTGCCCCCAAGGGCCTTAACCAGGTGTTTACCGCCCTGGCCGGCTCGGATGCCAACGAGACTGCCTACAAGGCCGCCTTTATGTACTACCGTCAGCGCGAGCGTGGTAGCGCTGAGACCGAGTTCACCGAGGAGGAGCTGGAGTCTACCATGAAGAACCAGTCCCCTGGTTCTCCTCAGCTGTCCATCATGTCCTTCAAGTCGGCCTTCCACGGTCGTCTGTTCGGCAGTCTGTCTACAACCCGCAGCAAGCCCATCCACAAGCTGGACATTCCCGCCTTTGACTGGCCCCAGGCCCCCTTCCCCTCCCTGAAGTACCCCTTGGAGGAGCACGCTCAGGAAAACGCTCAGGAAGAGCAGCGCTGTCTGCAGGAGACTGAGCGTCTCATCAAGGAGTGGCACAACCCCGTCGCCGCTGTTGTCGTCGAACCCATCCAGTCGGAGGGTGGTGACAACCACGCCTCCCCTGCCTTCTTCCGTGGCCTGCGTGAGATCACCAAGCGCAACAACGTTCTCTTCATTGTTGATGAGGTGCAGACTGGTGTGGGTGCCACCGGCAAGTTCTGGGCCCACGACCACTGGAACCTGGAGACTCCCCCTGACATGGTGACCTTCTCCAAGAAGGCCCAGACCGCCGGTTACTACTATGGCAACCCGGCCCTGCGTCCCAACAAGCCTTACCGTCAGTTCAACACCTGGATGGGTGACCCGGCCCGTGCTCTGATCTTCCGTGGTATCATCGAGGAGATTGAGCGCCTGAACCTGGTGGAGAACACTGCTGCCACCGGTGACTACCTCTTCTCCGGCTTGGAGCGTCTCGCCAAGCAGTACCCCGAGCACCTGCAGAACCTGCGTGGTAAGGGCCAGGGAACCTTCATTGCCTGGGACACGCCCAAGCGTGACGAGTTCCTGGTCAAGGCTAAGGGCGTTGGTGTCAACATTGGTGGCAGCGGCCAGAGCGCCGTCCGCCTGAGGCCCATGCTGGTCTTCCAGAAGCACCATGGTAAGTCTGCCTTAGATACGGGATGAGAGAGGAAAAAAAAATGCTAACTTATTGCAGCTGATATCCTCCTGGAGAGCGTTGAGAAGATCATTAAGCAGTTGTAAGCAGCTGCACGGTCGATTTGATTGAACTCTAGTTTATGAGTATTGGCGTTTAGCGGAACTTGGGATGGGGACATTTCTTTTTCATGATATTTTTAGCCGTTATATATTAGGCAATTTGTGCTACGATTTATGGCAATGATGCTAGTCTAGTCATTGAGCAACAAAGTGATGCCGCCAAGGCAGCGTTGATCTTGATCTTAATATATTGTCCGGGTATCCAGTAGACATCCCCCTTTGTAAATTATAAACAGTGAGCAGAATCAACACCAACCCGACAAACCCCGTACCGTACATGATCGAAAGAGAAAATTGTAGAACCGAAACTCCAATCGTGCAAATCGAAGAAAGAAGGCCAAGCCATCCCCTTCTTTTTTGAAAGAAAATATCGCTATGCCGTGCAAGATAGAGAACCGACATATGGCGCAAACGAACGATAGCAGCGAAGAAAAAACATCCGAGCAAGCAGACAGCGATCGATCGATTACGCCTCCTCTTCACCCGTGCTACCGTCCCTCCTGTATCAAGACACATTGTAATCAGCATCCATCAATTACTACCCCACATAAAACCAAAGACAAGGGCAGGGAATAAAACATACGGAATATACTTCACGCCCGAATCCTCCAAACTGGAAATAATCTCGTCGGGAAGCTGTTCACCCAGCACTATCAGCCCAATATCCTCTTCACCACCCACCACCACTATAATAAAATGGGTGTAAACTCACCGACCCCGTAACCTTAACTGCATACGTCCCCGGCACATAACTATCCAATCTCTGCCATCTAGCCACCCAGCTGGTTGTGGGATCGCGGAGCGTCACTAGGCCCTCGAAGACCTGCGACGTGCATTCTTGAATCGCGTCGTTGTTGCCGCGGAGGCCGAGGACGTTGTCGCAGTTGGGACAACCTTCGCGCATGAATTTCTATTCCATTTAAAACAAATATGTGTTAATTGGGGGTTTTTTTTCTTCTGGGGGGGGAAGGCAGGTAGGTAGTAGCAGCTGGGCAGCTGGACGTACGCTGTGCAGTTGGACGAGCGAGCACACCATGCAGGCGCGGAGAGTACGCTGCTGGCTGGGGGCGACGTAGAAGGACATCTTGCCTTTTTCAGCCCTTCTCTTATTTTTCTAGGGTAAGAATTGGCGAGTCAATAGAATGGTAGGAGAGGTTGTTGTAGGGATTGTAGGTAAGATGCATGCGGCAAGAACAAGAGACACCAAGAGGGTTCTGGAATCGGAGGGTCAGCGCCAAGACCACCCAGCCCGGAGAAAAGTGACGGAAGGGAAAGCAAATCAATCAATCAATCAATCCATCATCGACCCAAGTTTAAAAGTGCTTGGAAGTTGAATCCAGGAACGGGTGAGCCCGAGGAAAAAGTTTCAGGAACTTTTTTACTTTTTTGATATTTTCTTCTTTTTCGCCTTTCTCTATTCATTTTCATATTTCTACTTTCATTTTCTGGCTTTTCCCATATTGAAACATTCCCATATTAAACTGCGAAAGGATCTCGTGCTCTCTTGCCCCGAAATCCACCTTCCCCCACCTCCTTTCGTTAAACGCTTCACTGTTGCGCCGCCCGACGCCCCCCCAATGGCTTCCCCCGATCTCGAGGCCGCCACTGCCCTCAAGGTGCAGGGGAATAAGGCCTTCGCTGAACATGAGTGGCCTACGGCTATAGATTTCTACACTAGAGCCATTGAGAAGTATGACAAGGAGCCGTCGTTCTTTAGTAACCGTGCTCAGGTAGGTGGCGCTACTGTTGGATAATCTGGCGTTGAAGGTGGAGGTCTGTGTTGAGATACTGACTGTTTCTGGGGGTTCTTGGTTAGGCACATATCAAGCTTGAGGCGTATGGCTTTGCGATCGCTGATGCCTCCAAGGCACTGGAGCTTGACCCCAACTATGTCAAGGTTCGTTGGATGCTGCTGCTGCTGTTACTGCTTGTTGGCGTTGTTCGCCTCTCTGACTTATTCACCCTACCGTCGATAGGCCTACTGGCGCCGAGCCCTTGCGAACTCCGCTATTCTGCACTACAAGGAAGCCCTGAAAGACTTCAAGGCCGTGATCAAGAGAGAGCCCAACAACCGCGATGCCAAGCTAAAGCTTACCGAGTGCGAGAAGCTCGTTCGTCGGCTCGAGTTCGAGAAGGCGATCGAGGTCGGTGATCCGCCTTCCGCTTTCGAGGATCTGGATATCGATGCGATGGTCGTGGATGAGAAGTATGATGGTGTGCGCTTGGAGAAGGAAATGACGCAGGAGTTCATTGATGACATGATTGAGCGGTTCAAGAACGGAAAGAAGATCCATCGCAAATACGCTTTCCAAATAATCAAGGCCGTCAAGGATCTTGTCTATGCGGAGCCGACGATGGTGGAGGTGGGTGTTAAGGAGGGTACTAGGTTGACGGTTTGCGGTGACACGCACGGTCAATTCTTCGATCTTCTCGAGATCTTCCGCCTCAACGGCTACCCTAGCGATACCCATGCTTATCTCTTCAACGGTGACTTTGTGGACCGTGGATCGTGGTCGACGGAGATTGCTCTCCTGCTGTACGCCTACAAGTGGCTGCGCCCCAACGGTATCTTCCTGAACCGTGGCAACCACGAGACGGACGACATGAACAAGGTGTATGGCTTCGAGGGCGAGTGCAAGGCCAAATACAACGAGACGGTGTTCAAGGTCTTCTCCGAGTCTTTCTCGGCTCTGCCGCTGGCTACGTTGATCGGCAACAAGTACCTTGTGCTCCACGGTGGTCTCTTCTCGGATGACAACACTACGCTGGATGATATCCGCAAGCTGAACCGCCACAACCAGCGCCAGCCTGGACAGCAGGGCTTGATGATGGAAATGCTGTGGACGGACCCGCAGACCGCGCCCGGTCGCGGACCCAGCAAGCGTGGTGTTGGTCTTCAGTTTGGTCCGGATGTCACCAAGCGCTTCTGTGAGAAGAACGGTCTGGAAGCGATCATCCGTTCGCACGAGGTGCGCATGGAGGGCTACGAGGTCGAGCACGACGGACGGTGTATCACCGTCTTCTCTGCGCCGAAGTACTGCGACACCACGGAGAACAAGGGTGCCTTTATCAAGATTGGACCCGAGCTCAAGCTTGAGTACCAGGTGTTTGAGGCTGTTCCTCACCCGGATATTAAGCCGATGGTAAGTGATATATCACTATCTTGACAAAAAAGTGCGGACTGGCAGACTAATGTTGATATTCCAGGCGTATGCGCAAAACTCTCTCATGTCGTCGATGATGTGAGAGGCTTGACTGCTTTGCAAGCTGGGCGTTCATGGGATGGATTGGGAGCGGGTCAATCTCGCCGATCGGACGGGGACATGATACATATACATCACGATTCAGGATGGGAACTGCGACGGTCAGATGAGAAGAAGAAGAAGATGCGGAAAGCCTTGGATTACACAGTACGAGGGCCATGTATCTACGGATGATTGACGACGATCTCGTGAACTCTTTGCATAGCGGAATATCTATCTATCTATTTTGCTAGTTACATCTTTAATCTTTCTTCTTCAAGGCTATCTAGGTGTATGTTCTCTGCGGTTGAGTTGTCCCGCATGTGCAGGTCTGGCGATGTTGGATTGGCTGTGGGAAAGGGGAATTGGTTGGACGAATTGCTTCGTGTCGTACGTCTTGCCTTCCAGTCAAGAGTTCTGCATCCATCAATTAGATAAAAGATGCCACTGAATTGCATGGGGGAGAAATGAGGGTTAAAAGTGACTGTCGGTGCAGAGAATCCCGACGGCAGGGACCCCGCGATTCTCAACCGACGTCGTGTTTGTTTCTCGCTCTTCTCCCATCTTGGCTCGCGCTCTTTTCTCTCCCTCTCCCTCTTCTGTGTTTTCTTCTCTCCTTGACTTATTCCTATCTATCTAATCACATAATTATTTCCTTCATCATGGAATACGAACCCCAGACTCGTGAGTGACACTGACTGTCCCAACTCTCTGCAGCCCACACTAACCCCGCCTTCCCCTCCGCAGCGCAGTATCTCACCTCCGACAAGTCCAGCTTCGCCTCCGTCTCGGCCCATGAACGCTGGCCCGTCATTCTCGTATGCATCATGCGATCCCAATTATCGCAGTATAATCCTTGACTAATACTCCTCTCGCATAGACTGGTGCGATTGATGATCTGCACCGCAGCGTCGCTGATGTAACCGACGAGGAGAAGCGTCAGGAAGGAAAAGCGATCATCGGAAACCTCGCAGCATTCAAATATGAGCTGCAGCACAACAGGCAGTTGACGTGAGATCATGCTCCGCTCCTATACTCGACAACCAAACAGTCATTGACCATCTACAGCCCCCTCCCCGACGATGGTCAGCCCGACATTGCGGCGTACAACCAGGAGCTGGAGCAGCGGGGAAACCCTTCATGGCACAACGTCGCATGGCTCTACTCAGAATGCTACCTCTGTGCGTGCAATTGGCATACCTCCATACCCTACCACCCCAGCTAACATCCACCAGACAGACGTCTGAGCACCTTCTTCTCCCTCTCCAAGCACTGGAAGGGCTATGACGTGTTCGCCCGCCAGAAGATGTCCACCTTCAAGTCCTCGCGGCCCGCCGTCCTCGAACTCGCCGCACGATACAAGGAACTGGCCGAGGAGGCCAGCAAGGGCACAGACGGCAAGACCCCAGAGCAGATCGAGCAATCCGACCGTATCCTCTTCTCCGAGATGTGCGAGATCTGCCTCTGGGGCAACGCCACCGACCTCTCCCTCCTCACCTCCCTCACCTACGAAGACATCCAGAAGCTCCAGGGCTCCGAAGCCCGCAAGGCCTCGGAGAAGAACATCCTCGTCAATGACCTCAACGCCTCCTTCGACGTCCTGCACCAGGCCCGTCGCGACCGCAAGAACCAGGACCGCCGCGTCGACATCGTCCTCGACAACTCCGGCTTTGAGCTCTTCGTCGACCTCATCCTCGCCGGCTACCTCCTCTCCGCCGGCCTCGCAACCACCGTCGTCCTCCACCCCAAGAATATCCCCTGGTTCGTCTCCGACGTCACACCCCCGGACTTTGCCGCCCTCATCGCCGCCCTCTCCGACCCGCAAGCCTTCTACACAGCCCCCGACGAGTCCGGCAAGACCTTCGACCCCCTCTCAGAGAAGGAAGTCTCCGAAGTCAAATTCCTCTTCGACCACTGGAGCCACCTCCACGCCGAAGGAAAACTAATCATCCGCCCACACTCCTTCTGGACTACCCCCGGAAGTTACTGGCGCATGCCATATGTAGCCCCGGACCTCTTCCACGACCTGAAAGAGAGCGAATTGGTCTTGTTCAAAGGTGACTTGAACTACCGCAAGTTGACCAACGATGTACGTTCCTCTCCCTTTTCCCCCCCTCACCCATCATCTCCTCTTCAAAGTCTAATCCGATTGAAATTTCTATAGGCCGCATGGGCCCCCACAACCCCCTTCACAGAAGCCATCGGCCCATTGGGCCCGCAATCCGGCGTCCGCGTAATGGCCTTCCGCACCTGCAAGGCCGACGTGGTGGTTGGTCTGCCCGAGGGTGTGGATGAAGAGCTCCGCCAGCTGCCCAATGGTGGGGGCGACGAGGCGAGAAAGTGGGCGTGGAGTGGGAAGTGGGCTGTTGTGTCATTTTGTGATGGGAAGGCTTAGATTATGTAGATGATATATTTAGATGATAAATGACCGATTTGATAGATTTGAATGGATGGATGGATTCATAGATGGGGCTCAGTTGGATATGATATGTACTATACACCTTGTTGAAAGGTGAGGTGTTATGTGGTTGTGGTTTATTTTAATCTCGTTGATAGTAATTACGAGAGATTAGACTAGATTGAGTAGTTGAATATATGTATATAGAAGATGTAGGTAGAGGTGTGGAGGGAAATAAAAACTAAGATTACGTGTACGATCAATGATCAACGGACTAGAGCTAGAACTAGAGCTAAGTAGTGAGTGAGTGAGTGAGTGAGTAAGTGTTTTGACAGTGACATTCACATAAACAGAGGAAAAGAAAAAGAGAACAGGTATCAGACCAGAACAGAGCAGACCATATCACCAGACCACCCACCCACCCACCGAACAAACAAAACACAGACCAGATCAGATCAGATCAGATCAGACGAGACCAGACAATAAGGGGAGGTATTCACTTCCATCACAACACAAAGGGAAAAGAGCGGTTCAGTTCAAGTATCAAAGCTCAAGAGATTGATTCTTTCATATATCCATCCATCCAACCAACCAACCACCATCCGTTCCATATCACTCCGTGCCGTTGTTCCAATATGACATATAGGAGATAGAAGATAAAGGAAGAGAAAAAAAAACATTAAGAAATAGGTTCAAGAACCGATAAGGCTTGGTTCGTATAAGCGCGCATATTCTCTTTTCCCTTTCGGGTTTCCTCTTTTCGTTGCTTGAGACGTGCTTGGGCCTGCAGTTTGCGGTCCATCGGGATAGAGTCTCGGGGTACGACGGCCGCGAGGCTTTGACGGCGCTTGGCGCGGTCGAGAACGTGTGAGTCCGGGAGAGCTGTGACTGCGTCGAGGCTATATTTGGAGGGGGAGCGGCGCGCGCGGGGACGGCCGTGGTGGCTGTCGTCGAGGTTGTTGGCGAGATGGTGGGCGAGGGAGGTCATGGTTGTGTTGGTTGGGGCGTAGAGACTGCGGTAGGTGTTGGTGTTGGTGGATTTCTGTTTGGGACGCGGGCGGGTGGAGGGTGGAGGGTGATGGTGGTGGTGATGGGGATAGTCGGGTGGAGAGGAGGGCGGGATGGTGGCTGGTTCTTCATCATCGTGATGCTCGTTTTGGTAGCGGGCTTTGGGAGGTTTGAGGGATTCGCCGAGGTAGGCGAGTTGGTCTTCGTCGGTGATGCCCATGGCTTTCATGGCTCGTTTGAGGTCCAGGTCGCCGGCGGTGGTGGTGTATCGGGATGGGTAGGAGCGGCGTTCTTTGGCACGCGGGCTGGGACTGGGTGGCTCGTCGATGTCCGCGGTGTTGTCGTCTTCGGCGTCTTTTTGGGGACTGTTCTGCCCGAAATCGAAGACATGCACACCGGTGTAGTTCTTGCGAGGGCTCTCGGTGTGGCGCGCTCGAACCTGGGTGTGTGGGAGGCTCTCGATCGCGGTGAGTTTGATCTTGAGCTGGTCGATCTGCTCCTGCATGCGACGGCGTTCCTCGTTGAAGGACTCTTTCAGGTCCTCCTCGTGATCGCGATGTTGTTGAGATGCGGTCTTCAACCGTTCGCGGTACTCCTGGATGCGCGTTTCCAGTTTGGCCTCGCGTTGCTTCAGCTTAGCTTCCTTCTCCTTCCGGCGTCCTTCGTATTTGCTCATCTCCTGCTTCACCCGGGCTAGGGTCTGCTTGAGAGACGCGTTCTCCTTCTGTAGCTCACAGGCTTTCTGTTCAGAGCTGCGCGCGAGGTCTTGCAGTTTGGTGAAGTCGGACTGCTGAAGCTTCATATCGTCGATCTTGGTCTTCGCTTCGTCCAGAGCCTGCTGGGTCTTGCGGAGCTCTTCCGTAGCCTTCTCTGAAGAACTTTCGGATTCAGATTGCTCAGCGATATCATCGACTTCGTTCCCTACAACGCCGTGCCGTTCCAGCAGTTTGCGTAGTGAGTTGACGCGGTGCTTGTATTGCAAAGCCAACGCGGTCTGCTTGGTGAGGTCCTGCACCAGCTTCTCCTTATCGGCATTGGCGCTCTCTCCAACCATGGTCGAGGCTAGATGGGTAACATGGCGCTCCATCTCAGAGACCTTGATCTCCTCCTCCCTCAACTTATCGGCGAGTCGCGACGCTTCTTCATCCTTCTTCTTGGCATATGTTTTGGCGGCGGAGCGGTACTGGATAAGCTTTTTGATTTCCCATGTCGTTTTCGTTCGGTAACTATCGAATTCGGCTTTCCAGTATTTCCCCGACTGCGACCGTGGCTCGTTCAGGTTGATGGTATCGTCGTTGTCATCTTCCGCTGGCGATGGTCTGGACCCCTCGGATGAGGGGTTGGGCTCGAGGTCCTGTGACGAAAAGAGCCCCGTGCCCTTGGACTTTTCTCGCGAATCCATCAAGGCTTGCGTCAGTTTACTGCGAGGTTTGAACTTTCCGTCCGAAGAGTTGGCCGACCACTGGCTGGAGAAGTTGTTGGATGAGGAGGTGGGGGTTTTGTTAGGTTTCGTGAACGGGTCTTCCCGCTTGCGCTCGTTATCGACGACCCCGTCGCCGAACGACACGGTTTTGCGACGGTTGGATGCGGTTCCGGGTGTTACGAGGATACTTTTTGTAGGCGATGCCATCGCGTTCACTGCCAGATCCAAGTCGGCTTTGGAAGCCTTGAAAGCATCCCCTGTGTTTCCACTGGATGGTTTCAACGTGATGTGATCATTCAGCAGCTGATTGGTCGATGGATTCTTCTTCTTCACAGCAGCAGAAGTGGTAGCAGCAGCAGTAGTAGTACGGTGGGTGGATTCGTCGTCATCGGCACCTGGGGTACCAAACAAGGCGCTCTTGAAAGCGCGGATCGCAAACACGGGAGCGGGCGTCTCGGGTGGCTCTCCGGCCCTTGAGTTGTCTATGGGGATAAACAAGTTAGAAAAATAGGCCAGCGCGCGATGAGCGCGGGTGGGAAACAAGGTCAGATGAATTGGAAGGCCATTATTGGGCCGTATATGGAGGGAGGTGGAGGGAAGGGCGCGCGCACGCAGCAGCAGCAGCAGGGCGGGCAGCAAGCCA